TTAGCCAGGGCCGGCTCAAGGCATTTTGCTGCTTGAGGGACAATATGGTGCCCTTCCCCAAGCCAATTGGACTGCTAGTTGAATCTTACTGCTATACTGATGAAAGAATAGTGTCTTCCACTGCACTTGAGGGCAGCAGGCTAATGTAGTGGGTACAGGGCACCCACAGCTCTGACCACTTCCTGCACCTTGGCATCTGCCGCCTGAGGCAGATGCCTGTCTCATTGTAGGGATGGGCCTGAGTTTAGCTGGCTCTATGTCCCTCAGAACTTCTTAGACCTCTAAGAAGCTGGTGAGCCACTTGTGGCCATGGGAATGGTGATGCCGGCCCATAGAGGAACTGAGCACACCTGTCAACTGAACCACTTACTTATTACAGATGTATATATCCAGTAGATTGCTGTGGTCTTCAGGAGAGTTTGTTGTGTGAATGCCAAGGATCTCAGGAACCCAACCTGAAGGAATTCAGAGCAGGGCTTTTAGTGTAGCTTCTCCTGTCCTGTGGAATACCTAGCAGCCCTGCAGAGATATGACAGGCACCCACAATCTTTACTTTCTGGAAACAATTCAAGATGTTTTTGTTCTGACAGGCTTCCCCAGGTGGATAAATGGGTCTTTACCTCAGGGGTCCACTTGTTAGGTTTTTAGTCTTGTTTTGATTGTGTTTTCTGCTTTTCTGCTTTTAAATATCTTACATGTGAATTGCCTTGAGGCAGTGGTTTAGAAGGCCATTGACAAAATAATGATAATAAATTGATGACAATGATAATACAGGAAAGGGTTGATTAGTTGCTGTAGTGTGACATCATAGCTAGCGAAAGATTGAGTCAGTTGCAAGCCATTACTCTGTTTTGGACTTGCTTATATGAAGGCTGGTAGCAACCTATTCACTGTGTCTGGAACTGTTTGTGAGGTTGCCTTGAAAGAAGTTTTCTTTTGGTGTGTGTGTGCAAAATGTTTAAGTTTAATGTGCATCTGAGACTGAAATATAACTGTCTATTAAAACAACACCAACACAGTTTTAGCCAAGATATCTGCTTTTACGTGTAGGATATTTATTCCACTGCTATATTATACTATGCATATATTTATATTTCCTTCACATGACTTATCCATCTCAATGTGCTCTGTATCTGATGCTGTGTTGTACAGCCATGGCAAATGCCACAACCCATTGAGGGTGCTTCTCTATACAACTCTGTCTAGGCCACCCTCCCTATCTTCCTCATTGGACTTTCCTTAGCTGGAATGCATTCTTACGCTGTGATTATGTCTCTAGCTTTCCTGAATGGAGGGTGGGCAGGTGTGGGTTTATAGAAACCTCTGACTTTTGCAAGGCTGAAATATAGCCTATTGTGCAAAGGCCCCATCCATCTTGCGCAGGTATAGGCAAACTTGGCCCTCCAGATGCTTTGGGACTACAGTTCCCATCATCCCTGACCACTGGTCCTGTTAGCTAGGGATGATGGGAGTTGTAGTCCCAAGACATCTGGAGGGCCGAATTTGCCTGTGCCTGATCTTGTGCCTTTGGCCTCACCCACAATTCAGAAAGTTGACCATGAAGGTCTTTGGCTCTTAGGCTGAAAATTGTTTCCTATTACTGCTGTAGTGTGACATCATATCCAGCACTGGATCGAGCCCATCAGAAGTTGTTGCTTGAAGTTTTCCAGTTAACAGTAGAATTACTAATAAAAAGATTTGTCTCTGTAACTATTTACAGAGTTGTCCAGAAGAAAGTGGAGGGGTTTTTTTGGGGGGGGCAGTAGTGGGGCAAAAGAAGTGCATCATTGAATACGTCCATGAATAATTGGGCCTGGAAGCCCAATTATTCCGTTAGTGCAAGTATTTTGCTTGTGACACAAACTCTCCCTGCTCTCACCCTCCTATGCACGCCTCACACCCTCTCCAGATCTGTACTGGGGGGTTGTGGGAACCCCACAACAGACTTGGAAAATGCTGCGGAGTTCCATTGCACTATCATAAATCCTTTCGCCAATGAAGTGAGCAGAGACATCACCTTGCCAACAAAGGTCCATATAGTTAAAGCTATGGTTTTCCCAGTAGTGATGTATGGAAGTGAGAGCTGGACCATAAAGAAGGCTGATCGCCGAATAATTGATGCTTTTGAATTATGGTGCTGGAGGAGATTCTTGAGAGTCCCATGGACTGCAAGAAGATCAAACCTCTCCATTCTTAAGGAAATCAGCCCTGAGTGCCCATTGGAAGGACAGATCCTGAAGCAGAGGCTCCAATACTTTGGCCACATCATGAGAAGACTCCCTGGAAAAGACCCTGATGTTGGGAAAGATGGAGGGCACAAGGAGAAGGGGATGACAGAGGACGAGATGGTTGGATAGTGTTCTCGAAGCAACCAACATGAGTTTGACCAAACTGCGGGAGGCAGTGGAAGACAGGAGTGCCTGACGTGCTCTGGTCCATGGGGTCACGAAGAGTCAGACACGACTAAACGACTAAACAACAACATATTGGGGGACAACCCATAGCTTGGGGGGTTGGGTTATGATGTAGTATTGGCATATTGGGGTATACATTTTTATGTGCAGGAAAATTATACCATTGCAATATAATATTGCAATAGTGCATATTATTTTACATCTTCTCCATGCCGCTTCTCTATCTCAGCATAGCTTTGTAGCGGACGCTGCACTACACACAACCCTTGGCAGATGTTAGCAGGCCATTGAGATGCCTTTTATTCTACCTAATGGACAGGGAATTTGCTGTGGCTGTTGCCGTCATTCTTTTTCTGTGGGTGCTGCTGCCAAGCTTACGGGTAAATAAACCCGGCATTTCTATCAAATGGAATTAAAGCGGTATGTGTGCTTGAGGAACATTCTAAATCCTCACCCTCTCCTTTCCTTTCTTGTCTTTTTCCTCCTTACCCCCTCCTTTTTTGGCTTTGCTCTTTGCCAAGTGTAACTAACCGCTCTGAAAATGTACTTCTTAAAGCTCTGCAATATTAAGTGGTGGGGGAGCAGCAAAGTGGAGAGCATGACGGCAATGAATAGTCAAAATGGTCCTCTATGGTTGTCCAAAGTCTTTTGTGGAGCAGCGAACACCTGCTCTCCCATACTTCTTCCCTGCATGGATTCAGACAGTGGCTAGCCATGCGGTCTCCAATTACAAGGAGGTGGCTTTGATCAGACAGTAATGTTATTGTCTGTAGCCCCTTAACCATGTTTAAACCACCATTTCTCCTCAGCGGAAGTAATCCTGGGCTTAGAGTGTGAGTGAATGGAGGTTACAACGGATGACCAAGAAGCTACATGAAGGACTGCATAATATGCAGCTGATAATACCTGATTAATGGTCAGACGCATCCACCTTCTGTCTAGCCATTGCTGTTATGAAAGCCTGGGAGTGTGCTTTTATTGGTGCTGCTGTATGGTTTGGTGGTGCAATAGTTTGACACAGCGGCTTGGTTCAAGTGTTCACCCGTCTCCCATATGGTTAGAATCACATGAGGTAGAGAATGGTGAACATGCTCGTTGACCTGCCCCTCTTCTGTATTTTCCATCACTCAGCTCCCTCACACTCTACACATTTGGAACATAAGGGATCAGATAATGGTCCCATTTAGTTCACCACCCTGTTCTCACAGTGGCTGGCCATATACCTGTGCGAAGCCTGTAAGCTGGACATGAGCAAAACAGCACTCTGCCCACCTTTGTTTCCCAGCAGATGATATTCAGAGGCATAAAGCCTCTGACAGTTGAAGTGGCACATAGTCTAGGGTTGCCCTACGTCCGGGAAAACCCAGACATGTCCTCTTTTGGGGGGGCCAACATGCCTATCTGGGTGAATTTTTACATTTTAAAGGAAATGTCCAGGTTTGGGGGGCTCAGCTCAGGCTGCTTTGCATGCCGCAGCCGCTGCCAGCCCGGGCCGGGCTGGAGAAAGAGGCACGTGGGCGCGGTGGAAGCCCTGCACACCCACGCCCTTTTCCCTGACTCAGGCTGGCAGTGGCTCGGACTGTCCTCTTTTTTTGCACTTCAAGATACGGCAACCCTAACATAGCCATTGTGGCTACTAGCGATCAATAGCCTTCTCCATGAATTTTCCCAGTCCTCTTTTAAAGCCAGCAAGTTCATGACCATCACTGCCTCCTATTGGAATGAGTTACATAGTTGAACTATATGGTGTGTGAAGAATTATTTTTATTTCTCTGTCCTGAATCTTCCAACACTCAATGTCATTGGTTGTCCACAAGTTCTAGTGTAGTGAGAGAGGGAGAAAAACTATTTTCTATCCACTTTCTCCATGCCATCTATAATTTCATATATATTGGAACAGTAACTTATAAGGTGGACAGCCTGCTCCACTAGCATAGACTTCCCATGCAACTTAGAACCTTTGCATGATCTAGATTGTAAACTGTGCAGGAAAGGTAACCATTGGATGCTGATTCATGAGAATGGTCCTGAGTGCATTTTCTCTTTCCATGGCCCTGCCAGGTGGTTGGAACTCCACCCCTCTCCAGGTCAAGCAAGGTCTGGGCATCACCTGATTGCTCAGGGCTTTGGAAAATGTGGGAGAAATTAATTCAGGTCCCATTTTAGTGTGAAATCCACACTTCCAAAACAAATTCACGAACTGAAAGCCTGATCTCCTTCAGCATTCACACTTCTCCGAATTTTGTGATGCAGTTTTCCATGTATAGAATGTGAACAGAAATGTATATAATAGCAAAGAGTGCATGAAAAATACATATATCTGTAAAGATAACAAAAATGCAAACTTGCATATACAAGCCAAACTTTCATTTTAAAATTGTATGTGCATGGAAGTGTATACAAATTTCATGCAAAGTTGCTTAGCAAAATCACAATTCTGCATAAATGGGGTGAACCAAACCTCAGACTGAAAAAAATGAGAGAAATAGGAATGGGCAGATCCACCCATCCCTACTCTCAGGGATGCTCTTAACTTGGTGATAGCAATCCCCTTCTCATTCCTTTTTCCTCTTCCTCCCTTTCCAGGTGTACCGTGGATGACAGGGTGACGCGAGTAGCTTGGTTGAACCGCAGCACTATCCTTTATGCTGGAAATGATAAGTGGTCAATAGATGATCGGGTGGTTATCCTCACGAACACCAAAACCCAGTACAGTATCAAGATCCATAACGTGGACATATATGACGAAGGACCTTACACCTGCTCCGTACAAACAGACAATCATCCAAAGACGTCACGAGTCCATCTTATTGTGCAAGGTAAGATTTGGCAAAGATGCCTAAGAAGAAAGACGTTTTTATGTGGGCAGTTTCCTTGGCTTCAAATTGATGCTGTTGCTGATAATGCTTGGGGAGTTAGGAAACTCAGAGCTCGTTCTGATTGTCTTGTTGCTCAGTAGCTGAGCTTCTGGATCTCATCTTGTACTTTGTCATTTGAAAATGAGTGATGTCTGCTGTCTTGGGACGCATTCAGATGTGGGGAATATTGCATTAATTTTCCTGATCATAATGCTAAGGCTTCTGCCTGGTTTTCTGATGTTCCTTTCACACTGCAGTACCTGTTGTGCAACTGTAGGTTTCTGCACAATAACAAACGTCATTGGACAGTGTCTCTATTTCCCCACCCTTTTTGCACATGTGTGTTTCTGTTCCCCCATGAAAATGACAGGAAAGAACTGTATGCTGGTATCCCACCTCAAATATCATCACTTTACTTTCACGGTTTCCCAAATAATACAGAAATGAGTGCTAAACATGCATTATATTCCATTGCTTTTCCAGAAGGGGCTGTTACACCATGTGAAAGCCCAAATATAATGTGAACAATATTTGTCGGGAAATGGAATCAATTGCCATTTGAATGCAGCCTATGTTAGATCTATTAATTTCCATGAGTAAGAGTTGAATTCCAGGAGTGAACAAAGGAGCATGATGACCATAGCTGATGCAGTGCAAACACCCCAGCAAGCATGCTGGACCAGCTCTATCTGTGCATTTGCACCACATCCACATTGCCCCTGCCTTGCCCCTCTACCTCCTGGTAAGCAGCAGTGGTGCAACTAACAAGAGGTCAAGTGAGCAGCAGCCCCAACTCTCCAAACCTCCTACTACTGTTGAAGACTAATAGCATGTTCCCGTCTGTACAGTTTCATTGAAAGAACCCAGATGTGTCATTGGTGGCCCAGCTCTAAATATTTGCATTGGCCCAGTGGAGGCTGGTCCAACAGGGCACTGCCCCACTAACTTTGGCCTGGATTCTTCCAAGCTCACCTGCCTCTGCTTTCGTTTCCTTAGTTTCAGGGTTGTCCTTGTAGAACTCAGCAGGGAGAAAGATAGGGATGGCTGTAAAATGACTTCACTCTGTCATTGGCTCTGCCTGTCATTACCTCTGGTGCCACCTACTGTTGACCTCCCTGCCTTACACCTTAGCAGTCCCAATGAGCATCAGATGTCACTGGGCATGTCAATATACGAGTCACATTGCTGTATTCCAGAATAATATAGTATATATTTTTTAAAAACAATGTTGTAGCATAACAGTTGTGTGGGGGTGGGAGAAGAGGGAATATGCCAACACATTTCTGAAACACAGATGAAGTCTACTGTGTGCTTTGGGTAGCACTAATATAATATTTTGTTCTTTTATTCTTGCTTGCCACTTTAGGCGAGTAATTGTGGGAAGCTGGGTAAAAATAAACATGTTATTGAAAAGGCTGCGGTCCTAGCATCACTTGCCTTGGAATAAGCACTACTGAACTCAGTTGGGGCTTACTCCCGAGTAGACGTGGTTAGGATTGCAAAGTAAGATTTTCTTGTGGCAGGAAGCACTCCAGCAACATAAGGAGATATGCTGTAGCACCCCCACTTCTTTAATAACCCTTGGAATGTAAGGGACAATATCTCCAGTGGGAGCTAAGAATACAGCTATGCTTGCATTTCACAAGCTGTCTTTTCTAGTGTCTGTCTATATTTTATTGTGTTGTGAATAGAGACACGTTTTCCTGACTGAGATGTAGATAGATCCTTTAAAAAAAATAAAAATCTGCCAGGACACCTTTTCCTTCGTCCCTAGAGTCTTTGTCTGAGCCAGTACTGTGACAGTGAAACCTCAAGCACATGTGCTTAAGCAAATTAGTTTAAGATACATATTTCTCTCTCTCCTCCCCTCGCATCTTACTGAAAACATCTCTTAAAATCATGTTGCAATGAGACTGTAGGGGTTAGCTGGTGCATGTTTTGGAAATACTTTGGGTGCTGGAAATGTGCACCCAAAAAATAAAAAATAAAAATAAAAATAAAATAAAAACAGTCTTCCTTTCCTGCCTGGTATAAGAGCTCAAGTTCCAAAGGAACAGAGAGATCTCTAAATATGGAGAGGGATGCCGCAGAGCCACCTTAGTGGCCTTGACAGCGGAATTATCTTCTTTGGGGAAAATACAGTGCCAAAATAAAAGAACTGTCAGGTACTGTAGAGGAAGACTCAAACAGAACAAGGCTATCACTTTCTGGAGGAGAGAAGACAGATTGTGTAAGTATGTCAAAGTCATTGCAGGCCATAAAGGGCTTTTGGCAGAGAACTTCAAGGGGGAATTGCTGCGAGTGAGCTGCCTTTGCGTAACGCGAGCTGTTGAGGAGAGAAAGAGGGAGTACCCAGGCCTTTCCCGACAGAAGCATCTCGGAGCTTCTACATCAAGTGGCACATCAACAGGAGGAGGAAGCCCAGAGCATGTCCCCGTTTTTTGAGGAAGTTCGACTGAAAGAGAATGTTTGATCCCACAAGGAAGGCTCAGAATGGCTTTTGCTGCTGTTCCTATGGGATGACAACGGCAATGATATGGAATATGTTCAACAGTTCTGAGTTTTACCCCCAAAACAGAAGAAGCTGCTCACATTCCACATCATTTAAAAACAACAACAACAACAACTGGGTTTAGGCAGTCTAAATTCTGTGCTGAGAAAAATCCTGCAACTTGCATAGATTGAATTCTGCTGCCTGCATAAATTATGTGAACTTAGTAGGCATGCATATTTCTCTCTCGTTCTCACAGTGCCTTAGTTTGGAAATTCCACCCATTAGTCTGAATTTTAGGAAGCGTTCGAAAGAGATAAAACCAACACACTTTGGAGGAGGGAAAGAATGACATTGTAGTTTCAGGTTCCGCTCTGGCCTCCATCCATTTATTTAAACATCTGAAGAGAGACCTCACATATGTGTACAATTGTGTGTGCACCAGGAGCTCTCCATGTTATTGCCTTTCCTTTGCAGGGTTTCCAAGTCTGCAAACATACCTCCATGTACAGACATGTGCATAGGGTTGTCAAGTCAAAAGCATCCCAGACCCTGATATTCCAGGGCCTGAACCTGAGACCCAGGGGTGGCCCCAGTGATGTCATTAAGCATGACACATTAAGCATGACAGCAGAGTTGCTGAAAAGCATGTCCTTCAAATAAAAACAACAACAAGTGAGCAAAGAGGTCGTTAGCTGGAAATTAAGATAGTAACCTAAGCTAAAGGCAGTGTTCGCAGTTCCCAGCGGAAGTAAGGGGGTATTTCTTTCTCACCTGCGTTCTTGCCCTCTGAGAGATTCAAGGATGCAGGTGAGAAGTAAAGTGGGGGGGCAAGGAGGCAAAGATTTCAGGTCAACCCTTGCAGTCTGGCAACCTAGCAGTATGAACGCCAGCTGTCCACATGCAGTTCAATCACAGGGTATAGGTTGGAGGCGGAGCCTGCCACTTTACCGCCCCTCCCCATGCACCTGTTTTTACCCATATTGCATCTCTCTGTTAAGAGGCCCCTAAATGGAACTGGATAAATCCTTACCTCGTGTTTCCTCCTTACAAGGGAGAAGCTGTGCTTGGATATCTTTAGTTATTCGTATCCAAATGGTTTCCTGGCGGTGGGGGGGGGAGTGCTGCTTTTGGGAGCCTGCTATTGGGTAGATAGACCTGTGCTTCCCCCATGCATAGAGTTGCATAAATAATTGGCACCCGGGGAACGGAGGGTGAACTTTTTTTCTCCCTCACAAATAAATGATTCATAGAGAAAAAATATGCCCAAAGCCGATGGATAAATTATTCACAAGGAATAATGTGACCTGCTCAGCTCATGAGGAGGTCTTGTTTCTCTTTCTCCTTCCCCTGCCCACCCCCCCCTCAACTCCCAGCCCCCACAGTCTCCAACTGCTAAGCAGAGTTAGGCGTTAAAGTCCCTCCACCCACTTCATTTAGAAAGTAACTCCAGAGGCCCCGGCTTCTTAGCAACAGCTATCGGCTTTTGTCCAGTCTATAGATTAATTTTTCAGAGTTAGTGTTAGTTCAGGTTAGATAAAGATAATGAAAGTTTCCTAATCCTCTTAAAGAAGATTTATCTGGCTGAGTAGAAAGCTCTCGCAATACAATAACGCATGTATAAAACTGGGGCCTAACCCTCTTCTTTAATTTCAAACAGCTGATGGATATTGATTTTGCAATGAGTAAATCTGAAGGGGGGAGAAATTCTGTGCTTCAACTTTTTCTCTCCCCCTTTTAAAGAGAGGGAGAGGGGGGGGAATTCCACCACACACAGCGCGACAAAAAGAAACATTAAAATAATTTGTTTTCTCTTTATCTGCATTCCTTTTAGGAGAAAGCAGAAAAATATATTGTCTGTCTGGATTTTTTATTTTTATTCTTTTTACCAGTAATCTACCATAGTTATCGGAGAAATATCCCCACCCATAACGGTCATTTATCTAGTTAATTGAGCGTAGATCTAGCAGGGGACTATGGGCAACTACCAATTCATGTTTAGGATTTTGTGAAGGTTTGAAAACTGCCTCTTGTATATATGCTTTGTGTTTACTGTATATATGCTTATTCAGAGACCATGTTGTTTCACACACCACTCTGGTTGATCCACAGTCCAAACAGGTTAGGCAAGAGCTCCCAGTTCTTTGACCACCTTAGCAAGGCCAGGCAACACCACTACCTTGTCCTTCTCACTAGCCATGGAGAATGGGGTTGGTTTAGGTATCGTGAGATGAAATCCTCACCATTGCGACTCTTAACAATCCCCACAGCTTTGGACTCGTGAAGCTAGTCTGAGAAATTTACAGAGACATCAGATGCTCAAACATCTTACAAAAGCCAGAAAGTGTTACTGTGAGCGTAGTGATCAGTGGAGTCTGCCTTTTCTACAATACAAAAATAAAATAAAATGGTACACTGCACATAGACTGAGAAAAAAGAATGATACAGAGGAGTTTAGTTTAGCCACCAT